AAATGAAGTCAAAACGGAAAGCTCACAAAGGAAAAAAGGGCAACTTTCTAAACACTACTGACGAGTCCTAATGAGGCTGTAGCTGGAAGAATAAACACAGAGCAAAGAGCTCCTTCGACAGCTGTTGAGACAGCGTGTGCTCCCAGAGCTTTCATCGGCACTAGCAGGGGTCAGTCTGTGGGAAGAACAAAGCAGCCTCAGAGCCTGGCCCACGGAGGGAGAACCGACGGAAACAGAAAGGCCACTTGGACGACAGTCAGGGACTTCGTTAGGTCCCGTTCCCTTCCCCTCCCTCGCTTTGAGGAACACCTTAATTGTTTCAGAAGCCTCCCTGACTTGAAATATGTTATTGGCTTGAGCATGATATTGGCTTCAGTGAAGCTATTTAAAAGAAGGTGCTGTTCAATGCCAGCATGAATAGCAAGATGGAATTTTTTTCCTCAATAGTTAAAAGACTATTTCCTATGATTAATTATTAAACAAAGCATAGGAAAACACATCCATGAAGCACTGGCATCTGTAACGGATGCTGACTGACTTTGGTGAAACTACTCTGATTTATGTTGATATTCTGTGATTAAAGATACTGAAAAAGTATTATTCTCACACACTGAAATAAAGGTATTTTACCACTCTTGAATCGCAGCCTTTATTTTGACTACCAAAATACTGATTTCTAATTGCATCTTATTTGTGTTTCCTAGCGGGTTTAATAAACGTATTGACCACCTACTTGAAGAAAACAATTTATTTATATATTTTGTGTTTGACTGTCTGAAAACATTCTTCAAGGAAACAACTGTCTAGACACGATGACAATAAGCTCTCTGTTGCTGTAATGGTGGGAAAAGAGGTTGCCCTCAGTAAGCAGTACTTCCCAAAGAAGTCATGAGCTGTTTGCCAGGCTGTCATGTGTTTAAATATATTCAGATATTCATTCTTCATAAGAACTCTTAAGGATAATTTCCTGATGCGGAACACATCGATGATTTATGGCTCCGTATGTTTTTTTCCATGAATGAAGCTTTATTCTGTTGAGAGAGCTAAAAGGTCTATGTTATACCCGTCAACGCCAGGACGGTGGGCAATGCCTCATCAGCCCCACACTTGTTTCATGGTGTGATTTTGTAATTCCTGCCACATGAACTGTTTGAAAAGGGATGATAGACACACACGTAGTCAGCACAAGAATTGCTGTTTGTGGTAAAAAAAGCTGATGATGGTTATAAAGCGATCAGTAGAGCCACTACCTCCGTCTGATGATTTGCCCAACTATGGTCAAGACCCACTCCAGCTAAAAATTAGTGGGAGATCCTCCCATTACTAAGGCAGCAACAGATTCCTGATTAATAAAAAAAAAAAAGAAAAAGAAAAAAAAAAAGAAAAAGAAAATAGAAGAATTTAATCTAATATTTTTTTCTAAAAGCTCAGTTTTTCATCCCCATCTGGAGGTTGCTCCATCAGGATCAGCTCCTGTGCCTGCACACAGCGTCAGCCTGGCTCTAGAAACCCAAACTAACTGAGCGTGATAATCAGAAAAGGAAACTGAGTATAAATAGAAAGTGAAATTCACTATTTGGTTTCATGGTGCAAGCAAAAAGGAAGCAAAAGTCAGAAATGGGTTACAACATTAATTTCACTTGGCTGAGATAAGAAATTATTGTTGGTTTGTTGGTGTTTTTTTTTTTTTTAAACCAAGAGCTTCTTTATCCATTTAGCCAACTTGGCAGATGTTATCAAGAATATATCAGGCCGTCTGTCTTAATTCAAAGCCTGCTGAAGAAAGTGTAAAGGATTCTTTTCAGATTCATATGGCTTTTGCATGAGGCTTTTTATTTTATGTATCAGGGTTGAGGTGGCGTGATACACTGTTCTGAGTTATTACTGGAAGTACTCTGAATGAGTCAGCTTTGTGGTTTCTGAGGAATACGTTGTGCTTCTAGGAATTCAACCTGGATCTCTGGGCCCATCGATATAGCCTCTAATGCACATAGCCAGACTGACAGCTCAGGGAATAACCAGTTTTACATAGCAAGCTCTAAACCTGTGAATTATTTTTTACAGTTGTGAAGTAAATAGATATTAAAGGTAGAAGTGAGAAAATAAAAGCAGCAGATAACAATGGGAACACAGGATGAGAAAGAAGAAACCCCATCCCACTTCAAAGCGTTCGGTGCTTTTGTCACTCCTCAGGTGACAGCGGCTGTAGCAAACACTGAGATAGTGGTGCCTTGAGGAGGAGGAGCAGCAGCAGATTAAGTTTTCTTCCTGGCAATGCAAATTCTTATGTGAGACTGTTCGCTTGTTCCTTAAATGTAGGACTGTACAGCCCCAAGTCTGTGATTGTTGTTTCTTGAAAGACAGGGCTATCCGGTGCATGTTAGTAAGTAGGCACTCTGATTTTCATTTTAAGGTTAATGCTGACATCAGTTGTCAGCATTTTATGATGTTTCCTCATATAATTTAAAAAGTCTGACTGCTGAAGTTAATCAATTCAGAAACTGCATCACTTTCTTCATTTACTGTGAACACATTTATTTGCCTGGAAGTATTTCCTCTGTACTATATAAACACACAAACAAGCAGGCAAACCATCTGCTTTTTCTTAAATACATTTTCGGCATCTGAATGCAGATATATATATACCTAACATATATAATTACTGTAAACTAAGCTCTCAAAAACAAGAAATTGCCAAAAAAGCATTGTTTATACAAGCTTAATTAGTTCTTTTTGAAATATCACTCACCCTGTAGTATACAGTCCATTTTCCTTAAGATTATTCATAGCACAGATTAAGTTTTAGAAAAGAAAGAAGATACAACAAAATGCACATCTGATGGTGAAGTCTTCACTTCCTACGAACTCTTCCAGCAACGTGTACAAACTCCTCCAGTCCTTTCCCAAATAAGGACTGTAGGATGGTTCCTATTCACAGGCCACAAGTGAACGGATCTCCTCCACACCCACCTGTCTGCATAGCTACTCACCAGCTCCCATCATCTAAGACCATTTCCAATTTCCTTTAATCGTGTTAACCAGCTTAAGTTCTATGGCAGACCAAGCAGTTGCTCTCATTAACTCCCTGCAGCTCCTACTGTCAGAAAGGCCTTTCCCATACTGTGTAAGATACTCCAGAGGAACCGCATCATCACATGATTCTCAGGCTGTAAATATTAGGGAATAATTCACCCATCACTTAAGTAGGCTCTCTTTCAAGAACTGTAAGTGACATGGTTGATTTTGAAACAAAAGAACAATGGCAGTTGTTTTGGGTTTGTGGGTTGGTTTTTTCTTTTTGGTTTTGTGGGGTTTTTTTAATGCAAGACCATTAAACTAGGCAGCTATAATTCATTTGCTTTCTTTTCCTTTTGCGTCTGGAGTGCTTGCTGCTAGAGTCTGACTCTTTGCTACCCATCTTTACATTTCTTTTTATTTTGCTTTACAGCAGACACAAAACTTCTCCCAGTTGGCCTCATCCTGACCTTAAATGCACTCTCTAGTGCTGGGCAAGGGAGATTTTCTCCATGTGAAAATTTCCCTTTTTGCACATTCTTACAGAATCAGTCATTTCATTGGCTCCATTTCCCTCCTTTGCTCGCCTCTCTGCTTGTGTCATTCCACAAGACTCATAATCATGAATTAGCCCCACCTCATGTCTTAAAAAATGCATCCACTTGGGACCTTTTGTCCGTTTGCTACTTTTGTCTCTGAAATAAATATTTCAGTCACATTTTCAAGCTTTATTTCACAACAGTGAAAATATAAGCTGAAATTCTTGCACAACCACTTGGTCCAAGGAGCTCTAAGAACACTGATTATGAAACTCAGGAAAAAATTGTAAAAGTTGGCAAGAGGGAGTTTGAGAGCATATGTCTGCTTTGCATTTCGATTACCAACTTGTCTTTCATCCACACTTTGCAGATGTACCTGATTCTCGTCTGGTCTTTATACAGCTCCAAAGCTCAGCAACGTGGGGAAAAAAACTGGTACTGGATTACCTGTTGGAACAGGCTCAAGCTGTTCTGTACTCGCCATACGTCTAGCTTGGTGTGTGTCCTTACAGCCTGTCCGCTTTTACGTCACTTTAGTGGGCTGACATCAGCCAGCACACGGGAAAGGAAATGGAAATTACAGGCAGGCCATAGATAGCCGTGGAGTACCATCTTATCGGCCTAACCATTATTTTCAACAGCTAAAAAACACCCCCAAGCAAACAAACAAACCACAAAAAAAACCCTAAGATTACACTAAGCTTTACCTCCTTTGTAGACAGATGAAAAGCAGGATCAGGCCAGGCCTAGTCTGAGAGGACATCCTGAGCTCTGCCAAAGCAGTCTGCACTGAGAGACTCGATCAAGTCGATTATAATTTCAGAGAAAAATCTCAGAAAACAGGGATGCTGCTTGAAATTGTGGAAAACACTTAATGCTTCCCGGGGCAGGGGGGAGGCGTGAGGATGGTAACAGATGACTAGGGCCTTCTGACCAGTGGGCACCTGGCAACAGAAGCTTGACACCAGAGCTCTCCCACAGTAACTGGTTCAGTCACTCAGTAAGCGAAGCTTCAACATGGGATCAAACGGGATCACCCCTTCTTCCCGGATGCCTCGGCAGCAGCCTGGGCGCCAGCTCCAACGGGCAAACCACGGCCTTCCAGTCCACCTGAAGCCCCCCGCTTCACCTATACGGAGGCTGCCCGCCGTGGCGGGGCTCCCTCCCCGCGGCTCCCGCTCCCCGGTAGGACGCCGGGCCTTGGAGCGGGACCGGCCCCTCCGGAACGCCTCAGGGAGCGCACCCGC